ATGTGATTGGTTGATGATGTGATGATGAGTCAACCGATGTTGTTTTCTTGTTTTTCTTTCTCATATCTTTCATGAGTGAACAGCTGGTGTCTTTCAAGTGCTTGTAATAATTCGATAATTGTAATTTGTTCTCTTTTTTTTGGCTAATTTCGTCATTACTTCACATATACAAACGACATTTGCGTCAATCTCATTGTTGTTGTTGACCAAATTTAAATGAAAATCGACTCCATCAATAAGATCAAAATCATTCATGCTTAGATTTTCTTTGTTCAATTGGCACCACTTCTCCATCAAATTCAATAGATATTGTTTATGATTATCTAATGAGAGTTCCGATGACGATCTTGATGATGTCTGAGTTGTATTTGCTTGAATCAATGAAGTTGACGATGTTGAAGATGTTAAGGTGTTTGTTGGAGCCTGTATCATATTCGTTCGTTGAAATTTTCGTTTCGATTGTTCTGTAGTTTTTTCTTCCCCTATTTTCAACATCAGTTTTTTCAAACATTCAAAACTGCTTCGAATGCCCGGTTTGATCAAAGATGTTCCATCTCGCAACCGAAAGCATAATTCTTTCTTTAAATCGTCAAATTCATCACAATCAGCATCGAGTTCTAATGCATCACAAATGGCATCAGTTATGAGAAACACAGACATACAACTAATTTTTTGGATTCCAATCAGACGTGCTTGACAATGACCTAATCGTTTTTTGACGAATTCGCAAAAAATCATTATCAGTTAAAGAGAATACATCTGATGATATATCATTAATATTCGAGAACAGTGACTCATCGGACGTGATACAAAAATCGAAACAAATGAAAGATCGAAAAATAAATTAATGTAGAACAAAAGATCTGTTTATAATTAAAGAACTGGATGGAAGAAGGATCAAGATAAGTATGAGTAAAAATCTTGTCGGTACGTATATTTATTGGACAAACGCGACAACCAATCAAAATCAGATCTCTTTCCTCCTTGTCTTTGATATTCGTAGCCGTTCTACTTCAATACCACAGAACGATATCTTGAGAACAAATTTATGAGCGAATAAGACAGGGTAGAATTGACATTCCTATTTTGAAAGGAAAGAATTTTGATCGAGATGTTCCCTAAATTCAACTGGATATTGATATGCATCGTTATTTTAGGCCTTTCTTTGTGGCTTATAGTCTTTTTCGAATGTATTTCGTTTTTATCACAACGATTATCATGTAACTACTAGAATGAGTCATTTTAGATAATATCTTTCCAGATCATCTTTCGATATGAATATTAACAATAACAACAACATGATTTTCGATACGTCTCGGTTACCAAACCATGTGTTTATACTTAAAAATGCTGATTTTTTCCGATTCGTACAATCATTAGCTGGTGAAGGGCTCTGTGATTTACTTAGAATACAATCAATCAATTCTACAGAAATATTGATGAGCACTGATGATGTTTTCGATGTATTTAAACTTGATTCACCACAATTCGATGAAATGAAAGAAAAACATTTTTTCAAGCTACGGAATGGACAATATGTTGTTAAACCTGGAATCGCAAGTAGTTTATCATTTTTAACAAAATTGTTACAAGCAAAGCAAGAAGAACAGCAATCATCAACAGACGATGGTGATCAACAAGAACGAACGAACGATTTCATTAATAATCATCCATTACTGAAATCACTAGTTTCATGGTATCAGCACAATGATACTGATAACAACAAAAATGCTTGCAAGCATTCGTTCTTGAAAATGTTCATTGATAATATTACATCTAATTTATCAAAATCTAGTAATCATTTTAGATACCATGATTCAGTTAACAAATTTACCGTTGCGTTATATATCTTGGGAGGAAGACAAGCTTATCAATTCGTTCGTCTGAACTTATACGGCTCGCTACCAAGTTAACAACATTGAATGCGTTAATAAAGAACACTCATCTCAAAATAGATGAGGGAAATTTTAGATTTGATCTAGTGGAACAGCATTTTGCTTCACCAAATACAAAATTTTGTTTTTCATCTGAAGACTGCACGGGGTTATTCGTAAACTTAAATATGCCACCACAACAAATAACTTCGTAAGATTTCCAACACCACTCAAGAATGGAATACCAATACCACAATATAAATACAACCTCAAGATTGTTTGATTACTCTACACAAACAACAAATGACAACAGTGATGAATTGGAATTAGATGAGGACGAGGATGATGCCGATGATACAACAAACAGTGATGCTGAAGACAACGACGAACTATTAGAGTCAATCGGTGAAACCGGCGACAATATTGATGAAGAAGTCATGACTTCAATAAAATCAACTTTCTTCGTCATCAATATTGTAGATAAAGTTAGTCCGCACTTGAACAATTCATATTTCAAAATCAAAATTAACGAGGATTGGCAATACTTGCATAAAGAATCATGCTAGATTTTAACTGGCACAAAAGCTCATTCATCAAGTGATCGTCTCTCTCGTGTAATTGAAACAGGCCAGTGTTAAGTCGGGTACACTTAATGCTCTAGTCCTTTCGTTTTCTTTAGTATTCAGTTTTCTATTTTTTGTCTTACCTCTCTTCACATGTGTGTACGCGTGATCTTTTAGTATCATACTGACTGTAGTCTACTTTTCGTCCCTCTATTTTCTTTTTTCTATTTTGTCTATTTTATTTCGTTCATCTATTGCTTTTTTCTCGTCCAGTTGTGATCACTATTATTCTAGGTCTATATATTGCATCATCCTTAACTATCTCTTTCTAGTTTTTTCTTTTATGTCACATGTCTTTGTTCTTTTGGATATATATAAGAAAGCATACATTTTGATTTCAGTGTGTTACATTGTATTTAGAATACAGAGTTAGTAAGTCGACGGACCAGTTAGTGGTCTCCTTACTTCTTGTTATTCTTGTATATGTATTTTATCTTGTTATTTTAAATATACTATACTAGCGGAGGTACCCGATGTAGAGTTGCCTTGAACTTTTCCATCTTTAACAGGACCGTCCCGACCGTGCATAAATTGAGATGCTTAGTCACACCGACTATATGATGTGAGAATTTAGTTTATAGCGTGTAAATCTGCTTTGGTTCTTTCTACCTATCACCATTTCTATCACACACCTCTGCATTAATTG